GGATGATTCGGAGGGAGAGCTATTTTTCGGATTTCAAGTGATCGTTCATATGATGAAAGTGCTTTCGAGTACTCGCCCATGTCATTATACACATTACCGATGTTGCCGTAGGAAGAAGCCAAGGAGGGATGATTCGGAGGGAGAGCTATTTTTCGGATTTCAAGTGATCGTTCGTACGATGAAAGTGCTTTCGAGTACTCGCCCATGTTATCATACACCAAACCGATGCTGTTGTAGGAAGCAGCCAGGGAGGGATGATTCGGAGGGAGAGCTATTTTTCGGATTTCAAGTGATCGTTCATACGATGAAAGTGCTTTCGAGTACTCGCCTATGTTTCTATACGCCGAACCGATGTTGAGGTAGGAAGTAGCCAAGTCGGAATGATTCGGAGGGAGAGCTATTTTTCGGATTTCAAGTGATCGTTCATACAATGAAAGTGCTTTCGAGTACTCGCCCATGTTATCATACACATTACCGATGTTGTTGTAGGAAGAAGCCAAGTTGGGATGATTCAGAGGGAGAGCTATTTTTTGGATTTCAAGTGATCGTTCATACGATGAAAGTGCTTTCGAATACTCGCCCATGTTATCATACACCATACCGATGTTGTTGTAGGAAGCAGCCAAGTTGGGATGATTCGGAGGGAGAGCTATTTTTCGGATTTCAACTGATCGTTCGTACGATGAAAGTGCTTTCGAGTACTCGCCCATGTTATAATACACCGAACCGATGTTGTTGTAGGATTGAGCGAAGTCGGGATGATTCGGAGGGAGAGCTATTTTTTGGATTTCAAGTGATCGTTCGTGCGATGAAAGTGCTTTCGAGTACTCGCCCATGTTATGATACACCGAACCGATGCTGTTGTAGGAAGAAGCCAACTCGGGATGATTCGGAGGGAGAGCTATTTTTCGGATTTCAAGTGATTGTTCGTACAATGAAAGTGCTTTCGAGTACTCGCCCATGTTATAATACACCAAACCGATGTTGTTGTAGGAGGCAGCCAAGTTTAGCTGACTCGGAGGACTCATTTTCTTGTAGATATCGATTGCTCTTTCGTAAAATGTTATTGCCTTCGAATATGCTCCTATGCTTTGATACACCGTCCCAAGTTGACCATTATACTGCGCTTTGTCTCCATCAGAAGATGTATTCTCAAGGAGTAGCTGATAGAGATGTTCTGCTTTTGAAGGCTCACCCAACCTAATAAGAGTAGAACCCAGTCGAGACCACCCTGTTCCCACATAGTCAAGCTCTTCGCGTAAATGTATTGTAAGTTTGTTAAAATCATCGTCTTGATTACCAGCGAGGGTGAGATTGACTTGCCAGAGACGATCTGTATGCTTGTCTTCAATATGTTCTATACGATCGATGCGAAAAATTGTATGTGTCGAAAAAAGAATTTCTTCTTCTTGATCGTCGTAGAAGCCATCATCTTTGACGTTGACGAAAGGTGTCGATGAAGCTGTGCAAATGGCTGTATCGATGTTCATAATGAAGAGAATGCCAACTGAATTCGCATCGAATGCTACCAGTCGTGCAAAGCTTTCTAAAGAAATCTCACGATTACGACTTGTCGACAAAAAATTATTAAATGACATAAGTCCACCTTTGGTTTTCTTCATTTTTTCAAAGGCTTCCATGGATAAGCCTTGACCACGAAAAACTTGAAATTTCGACGGCATGGCTGCTTTGCTGTTTTGCTGTTCATGATGTAAGTCTGTAATATGTTGATGTAGATGGCGAATAAAAAAGCCCATTTTAAGTATAATATCGACATCCATTTGTCGAAGACCACGATTGAGCATTGAGTAGATAAAATATGGACCCGTGTACCACCAAATGGGTGTATGATCACGATATTCTCGTTCGATCTTTTCGAGTGTTATTTCGGAAGCATCACTGTGAAGACGACAGTATTCAACGAGTTCCTTAATAGATTTTGTATCATCATCTTCGATTTCCAGAAGGGCTTCTTTTAAAAATTGCGTATACATAAATAATGGATCGAGACCATTAAAACTGACCGAGATCATACCTCGATCACAATGTTCACAATCGATTTTTAATGCTTCACAAATTGGTTCAATTTGTGTGTATACACCTTTTATTTTAGGTATTGTTTTGGTCCATTGTTGATGAATCGATTGGTTGTCACAGAAAACATAAATTGAGTGTAACTGTGGCAATGCTTGAATTTCTGGTACGATATGTTGTCCCAGTGCATCAGACACAATCATCAATACTTTTTCATCTTCAATGTCACTGAGAAAATCAGCACATTGATCAACATCTGTAAATGCTGTGATTGTTGCTACAATATGCTGTAGATCTTGTATTGACTTATTATAATGATCTTTGGATTCATCGAAATTGGCATCAAGCCAGACCAGAAGAAAACTTTGAAGAACTCGGCGAATAGGTTGGGATAGCACAACAGCATCATTGGTGGTGATAGCCTTTGTTGATAGTCCACCAGTAGCAGTTGTTGTCGATTTTTGTTTGTCCATAACAGATGAGTGAATGAATGCAATAACTGAGAAGCCGTCTCCCTATGTATAAAGAATTGTTTATTCTTTTAGTTCACATTTTTTTT